AAAGACTCCGTCATAAAACTGTATATAATACTGTACATTGTCACAAATTATGACAATATAAGATAAAGTAAACGTTGGAGAAGGAATGAGGTGAAACCTTACACAACCACTGAAAACATTCAAGGAGAAGCAAAACAAACCTTTTGACTTGTCATTGACTGAAATTGATGTTAGGCTTTGAACATGAAATTGGGGAAGGTATGCGGGATTATTTGAAATATTTGCTGATGTGATGCAAAAATACATGGATGTAGGCTCCGTACATTGCAACGAAAACAACATGGATAGCTTTCTACTAAACTGCATGATAAACGTTCAATTTCATATTGTGAATTTTCCATTTCTGAATGGCAATATTCCTGCATCTTCAACCTATATTTGTATGTCACAGTTGATATTCAATGGGCTGTTCCCAGTATCACGATTTTCGTGCAAGAACACGTTAACTGACTGACAAACTCGTAACATAATGGTTAAAAAAATGCAGGTTGATAGAAATTATGTGCAAATTTTAAAGTCGTCATAGTGATATCATTTAGAAATATTCTATTTCTTTGTTTGACATGAAGCTTGACGTAGCTGATGCTCGTTAGTTTGCCTGTTGGTTGTATACTTTGTTTTCCGTTGAGAACGTGACATTACTTACTTAAACTGACCAATGTTTATATGGCGGGTGTCAACTTTTACTCTTCCGGAACACCTGGTCTTATTCTCCTTGTACTTTTAAAGGAGTTTTCACGCGAATCTTTCTTTTGTTCATATTTTGCCCTTATTTGATGGAATTGAATTATGATTATTTTGCCGTTTTGGTATTTTCTCAATGATTTTTTTAAATGTCTTGTGACCTGCTTTGATTGATAAGTTCTTCGATAAGAAGTCAGTCAACAGGGGGGTTGGGGTTGGGGTTGGGGTTGGGGTTGGGGTTGGGGTGGGGGCGTTGGTGGAGATGGTGGGCACAGTTAAATGATTTACCACCAAACACGACGAACACGTTGTCATTCAGTAATTCTCTCATTTTTATGATTAATTCGTATTTTTTTTTATTTTTTTTTATCTGTGCGTATTTTACATGAAACACACTTTAGTATAATTCACAATCATATATTTGTTCTGTCGTTCACCTTTCGTTGAAAAAGAAAGGTCTCATAACAAGAGAACAAAGGTATTGTGGTGTGAGATCTTTTTTTGTAGGAGAAATGCCTTTTTGATAAGGGTATTGAAGATTTTATTTAATTCTATTTCTTGAGTAAACAATATCACAAAAGAATGTAACCCAGATTTGCTTGTGCTTAGAATTGTGGTCAATAGTTTTGTGGTTGTATAGATAGACAAGGTTGAACAGATTGGCAAGGCTGTTAAGAATATATTTAGTGTCATTTATGAATCATGAGAATGATCTGTTGATCTTTAACACTACATTGTGTATTGCGATAAGATTGGTGTCTTTAGACATCTGAAACATCCATGGAAATTGAACGTTTCCCTCTCTCGACTCAAGTGTCTTTGATTACTTGTGAGGCTTAAAATATCAAAGTTGGAGATCACAGGTAACAAATACATTGATTTCTCTCTTTAATATGTTAGATAAGTATCTTCTTTAAAAAACAAGAAATGTAATGATCAAGGCTACCGTTTATACCCACTTTAATTGGAAGTCATGGCAAATGTCAAGGACTCAATTTTTTTAAAACCAAAAGTGTGGATATAAACATGACTGATCCATTAACTTCTACACGGATGAAACGCATATCACGCATTTGTTTAGTGGTAAGGAGCATATGCATTAAGTGAATAATATCTTACACGTAGTGAAAAATAATAATCTACTTTTTCCCTGTATATTCTTTCATCGTTATTTTGTAGGTATTGGTTGTTACTTTCTAATCGGGTTGTGGTCGTTATCTTGTTAGAACCGCAGTTTGTTTATATGAATTAGAACAGCATGCTTTATTATGTAATAATTATTATCATATTATAACGCAGAATGTTGACTGGTACTAAATATTTTTTTTTCAATTTGTTATATCATTAATACAGTCTCGCGTTAGATGATCTGTAAGGGACAAAGAAACTGATTCCCGTGTAAACGACACACCAGTGTCGAGATGGCCAACAATCGAAGTAAGTTTTTCAAAGCACGCGTCACTGAAATTTTATAAAGGGCAACCTTAACATTTATATAATTTATATATCACACTCCTCATGATGTGCGATTAAATTCATTTTATCCATGTAGACAGAGCCTTCTTTTTCGTGTCACTAAGATGGAATATTCCTTTCCGAAATACACAGAATAGGCTTATATAACACATCCGTCACGGCAATATCTAATACTGAGCAACCATCACAGATTAGTTTTGATAAGAACATCCGTCATGATGTATCCCTTCTTCAAAACATCCGCCATAGCGTAGTTATATAACGAATACCTGCCACAGCATAGTCATATATAGAATACTCATTTCAGTATAGTTTTATATCGAACACCCGTCGCCGCATAGTCATAGATGGAACACCCTCCACAGCATTGTTTTATAAAGAACACCTGTCACAGCATAGCTTAATATAAAACACCCGTCACATTTGTAGCTATAGAGCTTTGCGTTTTATTATATTTGCCGACCTGTGGTTTTTGAAACTCATTATCCTACATTTCTTATACCTACCATGTTCCTACACACTCGAAATATAAACAGCCAATCCGTCACCGTATTGTCATAGTGTTTAGTGTACATTCGGCAACGTATTGTCGTACTAAATTGAGAACAGCCGTCACCGAATTGCCGTACTGTACTAATATTTCTGCTAACATTCAGTCAAAAATTAGAGCCAAAGCTTTTTAAAATGACTTTCATGAGTCGCCCACATATATAATCCTCTATTGATTTCATATAAGACTGTATCTTATTTATCATTATACGAAAGATTCATGACTAATTCATTTCATTTATAATCTACTTATTTCCATATTTCCATAATATTCTTTAATCTGTAATGTTTCTGTAATTGGGCTTGCATTCAGCTGAAGAAATCATAATTACGAGATATTTATTTTCTTTACAGAGTTAGGAATAACACGCATTCTTCCCTATTCCCTAAAGAACTGAATATAATGAATAGCTATTCAGGTTAATTTCGCAGGAACTAATATTATCAATTCTCTAATGAAAACGATGCAACACGACAGACGACGAAACGATAGCCGAAGGAAGTGGTGAATAAAAAACTCATTAAGGACTTGATATCAATTCTTTAAGGATGCAAATTTTTGCAAAAAATCCGGATGTTACTTTTTTTTCTAAAAACATCTTTCACATCAAAATGTTTTAATTTTGATGTTAAAGTAATTTAGAGTTGCAGCAATGGTTCGGCAGACTGGCAATGTTTGGTCGATATGAAGCCTTCCTTGTGTATTTTTTTTTCAAGATTTCTCAAATGTTTGTGGTAAAGGTAACTACATTCTGGAAATTCATATTTTATGTGTTAGCTTTGTAATCGAAAAATTGTGGAAAAGAAGTGAAGTGAGATATTTTGATCACAGATTTATAATACAGCTTCACAGTACTACTTGTGGACTGTTTAGTGCCATAAATGCTATCATTCTTGTTATCACGTTTTAATTCATTTCGAGAAGTGACACGGTTGAGAACATGTATGAGCTGACACAATGTCATGTATTTATGCATTCAATTTTGAAAATCATCAAATTTGTTACTGAATGTGGTAGATGCACCTCATAATCTTGTGTTGATATTAATTGCAACCAATCGTCAGTCGCCCTCTAAGTATTAACAATTAGACCCTTGGCATCACTGACGAGTCTTAAAAGAACGGAAAATCTGTATGATGCTGCTTAGCCTATTGTTTGAATTACCGTACAATGTATGTAATTATAGATCTATTTTAAATTTGCTATTCTCTAGTATATCATACAATGGAGATCGGTCAGTTACAGAACACAAACCTTCCTCAAATTGGTGGTCATCGACACTAAAAGTGAAGGAGTCAAGGAAAACGTTGGAAGGATAGGAAATTCAAAGATACAGATCCCAAATTGCAACGAGAACATTTGACCAAATTCTTACGGAATACCGTGTATAAGGGTCTCTAGATTCTTAGCATTCGAGAAAAAATGTTTCTTATTAAATGGAGGTAAGATATTAAGGTCAAAGTAAGCGGGGTCGCAATATGTCATCTTATAGGTGACAGATTAACACACCAAAAAAGTATATTACAATGGATTTAAAATGTCTACAGGTTTCAGTAAATTAAGCAGATTTCGGTGAAAAAAGGAATTCTGTAAGGCAACAATATTCCGAAGTCGAATGCCGTTTAGAAAATCGCTCAATGTCAATTGTTTTTAGGAACTCGTATCATTAAAGATATACATAAAAATGCGTGATTTGCTTTTGAATAAGCTATATTTCAACACTTTTTGTGTTTTATTTTTAATAAAAGAGACTTTTCATAAATTTGATTTTTTTGCAATCTAAAAATGAATCATTTTCCCTGCTTGCATATGACAAAGTAGGATGCTGTTGCTTACAATTTGCTGTAGAAACTCCTCTAATTATATACAAAACACATTCCTTTCAGATTTATATAGATTTCGTGTTAGGATAAAAAATCAATAGATACATTATTTTCCGCGAAATGACAGCAGCCCTAATGGAAAACAATACTATATGGTGAAAATCTGACGCGACATATATCCAATATATATATATTCCGTATCTTTCTCTTAGACAACATGATGTATTGACTTTATATTAAAGCAGCGAAGAAATACTTGCATCCTCTCGAGACAAGGGCAGGTCACTAGTAATTTACTGTCTACAATTGTCTTTTGTGTTTCTTTCCTTTCAACCAGTAATCTGGGTGAATATCTCTTCGGCGATTTGAAATATTACAAAAAGAATTGTGTCTCAAGATCTCATGCTCGCGCAACGCATGCATGCACACAAAATTACATTTTAATGATATTTTGATTTCACACTTACCTTTAGCCTGTTTGGCTTTTTTCGATATTTTGTAGAGAATCAGTGAATATGACGTGGTGATGATGAATAACGGTAAAGCGTACACTGTGATGACGTTGAACAGGTTATATGCGAGCTCGTGTTTTGGGGTAGGAAAAAAGTTAAAAGTGACGCACTGAGTGTACCACTTGAACACTGGATGATTCTCCACATGAAATATAACACCCTGAAAAACATAAACAGAAAAATTGAAAATCTCCTTGCGTTGAACAGTACACGTACACTAAAATGAATATTAATAATGATTAAAAAATTTAACCTCCGATACAAAAAAAAAAAAAAAAAAAAATATTATAACAACCCTGACACATCTAGATAAGAATGGAAACACATCATAATCTGATAACAATACTTGTAAAATCAACTATTCATCCTGTTGTTTTAAACATACAAGTCTACTCAGGCATCGTAAGGCATTCAATTATGTATGTCAGGTTAAGGTGTTGTTCTGATTAAATCGACGAATCTATTTCAAAGTTAAGACGCAAACTGATATTGAATAATACTACGATGTTTTGATAGCTTTTAACCAAAGAACAAAGTGGACATGTTTACCAACACTGAATCATAGAGATTGCTTAAATGCATGCATCAGCATGTCTTTTTAACTTATGACTGAGAAAATGTCAGATATTACTCTCTATTCGAGTTTATGTTTACTTTCATTTCGATCCAGTTGTACCTCAGCGACTGTAAAGGAAATTGCAATGATTTATGACTAGCAACTATGGAATGTCCAAAACGACATCGAAAATACACGCGTGAAAAACCACAATGACATGCACGAACAACAATAAAAAGTATATAATACTTCTTAGGTGAACACAAACAATGTTGTTACCATTCAGGCTAATAAATAAGTAATATTACATTTGTAGTTTAATAGGAGTTTCACCATGATAAAGTAACTGTATACTGTATACTTATCATGTTTAAGTAAAAGTTTCACCAAACAGATGAATCAGTTATTTGTCAAAAACATCTGGTTTTGGTAGACGTTTCACCAGACAGATGAATCAGTAATTTAAGATACATCTATTTTTGGAAAAAATTTGCCAGACAGATGAATTAGTGAACTGTAAAAACATCAGGTTTTGATACCAATTTCACCAGACAGGTCAATCAGTGTACTAAATAAAATATAGTGTTTTGGTAGAAGTTTCGCCACACAGATGAATGAGTATAGTGTACAAAAACATGTTTAATAAAAATGTAAAATATCAATCACGCTACCGTTTCCTTTTTTGTAAGTACTCTTTCGTTATAAATGAAACCAAACATCAACATACCCCGGACATATATATCCACGCTTTTCTCATATGTCAATTTTTCTTGTCTTAACCTATGGTTGAGACAACCCTTAGGTGTTTCTTTCATGTTCTGAAAACGATCGTATTCGAAGACAAATTGTGATAGCTATTCTGCTTCCCATTTGAGAAATGGTCGCATTCGAAGACAAATTATGATAGCTTTGAATTGTCCATAAAGAATGAGCAAAACATGGACACCTGTTGTGAAATCAAAAGGAAATTGTCGCATTTTGACAGGTGGCAACAGACAATTTTTCCCCGCCAGCGAGTTTCCGGAAGTGGAAATCACGATTGCAGCGTCGTATAATGATTTATTCAGGGATCTTCATAAAGACGCGTGTTGATCAGAATGTGAATGGAATGTCGACAGTTCACCGGATAAAATACCATTGATTGGAAATGTCTCTTCCATAGCTTTCTGACAGACATCGCTGTACATCTTTATGTTATGCATACCCTGATGAAGTTATGTCAGACTAGTCCATGTAAATAATATTGCTTCTCGAAGCATATAACTGTGTGACGTTTTCTTTTTTTTGAGATAAATTATGCAACTTTCATTCTGGTGAACGGAGACGTGTGTTAGATGTGTGAGATAATTACCATATGATATTTCTGTAAACCGTTCTAGCTGAAAAAGAGTCGATCATATAAGCACTGTATTTTACGACAACGACAAAAAACTAAGCAAAATCAGTTACATGTAAGAGTTCATCACCGCATAATTAACGCAATATTTAAAAAAAAAAAATAGATAAGATAAACATCCCTACTCATTAATGTATTTAGAATCGAATGGATAGAAGCGTTATACACCACCACCACCACCACCACCACCACCACCACCATCATCATCATCATCATCATCATCATCAATTCATAGATCATGAAGCTTAAGAACAGACACATTGTACGTAGTTACACCGTAAAAGTATCTGATAATATAGATACTTAGATCACAAACACCACTAAGATAAAGAACGCCTTCATGGACTGTCATGGAATGACTCCATGACTCCAATATATCACACTAATAGACACATAGATTTTATTGTAGCACATAGATTATAAGACATTCACCAGAGGCTATAAATGACATATAGTTGTAACGTCAATGGGAATGCTTGAGATTGGAGCAATTTTGCAACTCAAGAATCTTTGTCAGGGAATACATTAAAACATGGACTGTTTTGGTCTGGCCTAGTCTGCTTCCTTTTTTGTGGTCCCAAATTTTGGTCTAGTCTGGTCTCATCCAAAATTTTGATCTAGTCTCATTGATCAAGCCCTTATGTTTGCCTGATCTGCCCCTTCCTCCGGATATAACATTGATTAGAGAAACGATGAAAGTGTTTCATACTTATGTTAGGCTACGCAGTCATTGTCCACATTACTTTGTCTCGTCGATTTGTTAGTCAATGGACATAACATCGATCAATAGATATCAATGAATGAAATCCTAGGTAACCAATATATAACTGGATGTAAAGTATCTAACATTGAATGCTTTTTCCATTTCGATTTATTTTCACGATTTTGTCTGGAATAAACAATTCAATGTCATAAAAATGATGCGATTGAGAGATTAAGATTGCTTTGCTTTTTATCAATAGCAATCAATTTAGTGTTGCTAGAAAGACAAAGTCCAAACACATGGTATCGCTGTATCAGTCGAACTGGCATGGAGGTTTGTGTCAACACTTGGTGCTTGTTTTAGCGACTGTTACTCTTCACTGAGGTATCAATATTTAACAACACCACAGGTATTCAGATAAGTGATGTGCACAATGGCTGCAATGACTAACAGGTTGGTTGAGTAATTTCAATGTTGGGAGTTTGTGAAGTGACCAGTGGGTTACATGTTATAAACGGGATTTCGATTTATTGTTATCCATTAAGAAAGACAAGAACATTAAAAACAATCAACGAGATCAACTAAAGTATGCACAAAGAAAGTGTTTGCAAGCAGGACTTTGATTTGTAGATATTCTTGGAAGAATTGAGACCAAACCGAACGAGCCCAAAATTTGGGAACACAAAATGCGACCATACTAGACCAAACCAAAATTTGTGACCACAGAAACAGGAATAGACCATATTGTGTTATATCGCATGCCCTGTCGTTTGTGTCGGAATACATCCCCTGTGGTTTGGTATTTTGCTCATAACGATGACTAGAATCAAATAAAGTCAAACTGAACCAGTCATAAAAAAAAAACCACTTAAAGGTCAACATGTACGATTATTCTTAAAATGCCGACAATCATTTTCAATATGCGATTCATGGTTTCCTATGGTCGCTCTCTAGTGAAAACACTTGCAAAAAGGTATCTTGTAAATCTTTCAAAATCATATATCCTCATTAGGAAATGGTGTCACTGATTAGTTAAAAACATCACCTGACACAAGGAAGCGCCTGCCTCCACGGCGAGCTTTATGGTCTCTCCCCAAATCGAATTCATACGAGGAAAAAAGTTGTTTCTGTGAATATCAGAAGGTAACGGGGTCTTTAAATAGGAGCAGAATTCATGCAGATAGCATGTTACATGAAACCTTCAGGTAAATAAACATTCATATATCCCTTCAACTATGGCTATCGACGCATATCATTTGTATTGAGGACTTTTATTCCTAAGTTGACCAGATGAGATTTCTTTTTAGTGCCGTATTAATTGCAAAAACTCACTAAAAAGGATTCCGCAAATCGTAACGCATGAAAAAATCCATTCTCTAGACGTAGTAACGAGCTTCGGTCACATCGAATTTAAATTGCCCAAAACAAACAAAAAATACCAACATGTAAAATATAATCATATTCCAGATTTAAATTTAATAAAGATAGAACAGAATATGAACATATGAGATATTTACACGGAGAAAAGTACAAGGAGTATAAGACCAGGTGTTCTGGAAGAGTAAGCGTCTTCTGCTTTATTGGATACCACTTCCGTCATGTAGACATTGGTCAATTCAAATAAGTAATGTTACTTTTACAGACGAGAAAAATGTATACAACAACAGAACCAACAGGAAAACTAACGAGTATCAAACACGACACGCTTCATATCACACAAAGAAATGAAACATCAGATAACTATGACGACAGCAAAACTTCCCGATCATTTTCATCGACCGGCATCATTTGAAACCATGTTTTGCGAGTTTCCATTAAATGACAACTTTTTGCCATAACATCATGACGATGGAAACAGGCCCTTGAATATCGAATCAACTGCGACCTTTTAAAAAAATTGGTTGGGGATACAGGGGTGTATCCAAAGAAAAAAAGTTTTTTTACAGATGTATTTACAACTTTTATAAAGTATTCTTAAAATATGTACCCTAGAAAACATGTATTGAAATTCATTGTTTAGCTCTACTGTATATTTTATACAATACTTGAAAATACATAAAGTAAACACTGCTCGTGGACTTTTTTTGTCCCAGAAGTTTGTAATAACCTGTATGTCACATTTTGATTCATTCAAATGATGGCATTGTTCAGAATATACACATATACTTGATGCTGTTCTCAAATTATTAGATTACGAAATTACGAAAGATATTGCAGTATCGGACTGGAGCACTTCCCTGTCTAGGTTTTGACTTTTCTTTCGATCACTTGGGGCATTCTCAGTTGACACTAAGGGCTTCAAAATTTAAGCCCTTAGGATCACTGACGAGCCCCAGAAGGACGAAACATCTGTATAATGCCGTTTAATTAATTGTTTGACTCTACTGTATCTAACTCTTAAGTTGTATTTAAAGGTGTTATTCTTTAGTGTGTCTTTTATAAAATCAATTTTACCTGGCGATATCGGACGTGGAGTGATTCATATCTGAAACACGCCATAGACAA